TTTGAAGCGATTTCCTTAGTGAAAACCAAGAAAAGCCGGGGGGGTGATCTATCTCCTCCCGTAAAAAACCAAAACAGAAACCAGTTTGTCTTTTTTAGTTTTGGGGTAGACCCTTTAAACTGGCAAAGTCTCATTCAAATCGGTGAGATGGCATGTCGCACGACTGCCTGATGCTCTCGTGGAGCTGGTTAGAAATAGTACCAGCGTTAATGGATTAATAATGATCCTTAATTTACTCTCCCACCGACGCAGCACCACAATTTCTTTAGAAGCTTACCCCCTTTATTCAGAAGATTAATGTGGTTCCTGAGAAAATACTTAATAGATTAAAAAGTCACAAACATACAGAAGAATTTTACATATAATCATCCCACCACAAAAATCTGCCACTGCTAAAGGCACGATGAATGTATTCGTTTTGGTACGAAGCTGTCGTTTACTGCGGATGAGGACGGCAATAAATCCATTTTCAACTATCGTGAGGATACAAAGGAACCAGCTGAGAGCCCAAAACCACGTTTCCATTGAACTTCGCGCAGTCGCCTTCTTTGTTAGAGAGAAAGGAGAGTTTTCAACACTCTTAAAAAAGGAAATTGTACAAATATTGCAATTGAGGTTTGATAGAACATTCTGGCTCCATGTTTGCGCAAAGCCAATTAGGTTAATAAACGTGGTTATGTTAAGCTACGTTTAAGGCTGCAAACATCTTTCACTCAAAAATGTTTTCTTTCAGACGGTTTCACACGCGGAGTCTAATGCCTGTTTATTGATCTTTAAGAAGCATGGACAAAAATGTTCTTTTTTATATTTTTATTACTATTATCATCTATAGTAATGTTTTCTTTTTTTGTCTACTTCTCGAAAGAAAATTACAACAAATTAAAGTGCTATTTTATAGATATCAAGTTTCGTATGTTCAAACAATTCAATGACTGATGAAAATCAGTTATGATGAAATGGTGAATTTTTTGCAGGACGTCGTGTCGTCAAATTCGTTCTGTAACCATAATTGTGAGTGAGTGTCGAGATTCATGCATATTGAGTCAAGAAGAAGGCAAAGATGGTTGACGATGATACCGTCATTCAAACTATGACATGATGTTAAGCTTTGGATAGCACAACTTTATATTTACTTTCCAAAGGACGTAATATGGCGAGTGGTCAAGAGTAGCTCTCGGGTGAAGAGAGTCAAAGGTCAGCTATGGCCAAAATTAAGAAAAGTACGAATTTGGTTTCAATTTGACGAAGGTAGTTAAATAGAAGTAGAACGCCGTGGTGATATTTAATAAGAGCAATAGTATGTAGCTTTCGAACTTTTTCAAAAAATCGCGGCTAGTTAACCTTGCCGATTTGGCTTAAATTTGGCATGAAGGATGATTTTAGGGTCCTAACCACAAAGTGGGTATTAAAAAGTTGCAATTGTTTTTTGCTTGGCAAAATATATATAAAGCCGGCCTAGTCTGCCCATACTTGCCCGCCAACATGGCGTATCGAAGGTGTTCTTATGACTTCAACTCAAGTCCTGTCGCAAAGATTTTTAACATCTATTTAAATGAATAAAAAGATCTACCCTTTTTCTTACATTTATTGGAAAAAATGAGGGAAATGACATATTTTGATGACAAGTTATCTAAACGCTCGAAGGACGTTTTTGCCGTCTTGAGGAGTCAGAAATTTACCTCAACTTGTTAGCCTGATATCTCCAATGCTACCCCGATCCATTTACTTTGAGCAATGTTTGTTCGTGGACGAGTTGATCCCATCAATATAAAATGTGGGAAATTTAAAGGTCAAAGGAGAAAAGTTATCAATCTGTGATGACTAAGCTATATCTGGGACCAGCTTCTAAATCAGCTTACTGGTCAGAAATAAAGGTCTAATACTCATTTCGTCAGAATAAAAGCAATTCCAGACGTTTTCCTAACATTATGGAATTATCTGTTGATTTTGGGCAGAAGCAAATATCACTGAGCGACATTGTCTCCGTGAGATAAATATATGTTCCCTATTGAATGCAAACAATCGATCCGCCATTAACGCTTGGAGGGATTGATTTTGCTCACCGTTTTGAGAACGTAAAATATCAAGAGAGACTCTTTTGAATTCCAACTTACTGCTTTTGACAGAGATTGGTGACTTTCTCCAACTCGATGCCCGTAAGCTACATTTGCAACTGATCCTACTTGCCACGCCAACGGTTTAAATGTTAAGTAAATTTCATCCTGTTTTTGAGTGGTTCTTAATTTCGTTTTTCGTTTTTTTTTTATCACTATAAATAAAACTCAACCTTTCGGGATGCCTCCTTGCAAATTGTTCTTTTTCACAAAAGGTGAGCGCAAAATGCGTATATGAGGCGCTCTCTCTAGCGCCATTGACATGAACTTTGAGTATTGTTCAAAATAATCATTACCTCGTTGGAATGCGCACGCAATCGCCAATTGAGTTTAAACTAGGATCTATAAGATTTATTTTGCTTTGAAAGATTGTCCAGGAAGGATGCTTTTTAATCTTCTTTCGATGGCTCTAAACAAGCCTTACACCTAATCTATATAAAAAAGGAAATAATAAAATCGTCATTCATCACTGAAATGTGTTGACAAATTGAATTCATGTTTCTCCTGAAAATGCAAAAGCAAACGAAAAAACAGAACTAAAAAAGGGAAAAATGAAGTCTGTTTTGCAAGCTGCAACTGCGAAGGAGACTACATCCTAGTTCGATTTACAATAACGAGGAAGGCCCACGAGAAATCTCGAAACATTTACTGTTTTGCACCACCCTCTCGGTGAAGGGTAAGTTTGGTTTCTCAGTCTTCTTAGTTCACAAACTCAGAAGTTATCTGACTAAAGAGACGCATCTCTTTCAACTCAACTCTTTCAAATGTGTGCTGCACCGTGCGGAAAAAAGACGTTTTTTCGCAAACTGGAAGTTTTTCTTTCTCATCATACCGAAGGGCCCTGTTTTATATAAACATTGATAAATATGCAGGACAATCGAAGTGGATCGGTTGTTTCAGGAGCTGCTGCACTAGCAACGCGATACCAGATTTAGCTTTACCAACTGAATATTACACGTTTTAAAAACACTGTGAAATCATCTGCACCTTATCAGTAGCAAATTTCTCTTTATTAAAATTTCTGTGACTATAGGAAACCTGTTTAAAATTAAAAGCCTTTTTTAGCCCTCCATTAACGTTAGACACAGCCAACAACACATCTGGGTATTCTTTTGATTTACCATTCTGTTTTGGGTTTTGCTAAATAGATATGTACGCTTCTAAAACACCACGATTCACTGGCTTGTGTTATTTTTTTGTATCTCGTGTGAGACAACTTAGTCCTAACAGGCTAAAAGCACGCTTCTGTTTGCACGCAACAGGCCAAAATAGATCCGTCTAAATGCAGTTGCCCGATGATCGGGCAACCAATACAGCTGTAAATAGAATATGGGAAAAATGGCAGGTTACTTGTGTCTATTAATTTTTGCCACGTGATGAGAGTATTGTGTGAATATTTTAGACTAACATAAGGGGGTTCTATATTAGAGTCACGATATTCTCATAAAATCACATGGTGCAAATATCTAATAAGTTTCACACACATACTTTGCCTCACCAAGAAACAGTTCAACTTCAATAAAATTTACGAAGGAAGCGATTTAGACCATACTTTTATACATCTTTTGCCGTTGTTGATATAAATATTGAAATCTTCTCTGCTCCTGAATTTTAAACGGAATCGAGGATATGGTCTCGAACCTTGGTCATAAGCCATGGAACTTTTTAGCAGTATGTATGAAACTTGTTTTGCACTCTTCGTGGCAAGTTTTGAGATATTTGTTTGGGTGTTTGCAGTAAAATAATTACGCTTCTTGAAAATGAAATACTTAAAGGCTATCTCATGTCAATTTCGCTCTCAAGTGAAATAAAGCATGGGACATGTCTTGGTCACCGATTAGAAATGTGAATTGCGCCGAATATCTTGAGGGTCCCGCTGAAAACTGCCCAAGCGAGTTGGGTTCCCTCGTTAAGTAATACTTTTAGAGAGTCTAAATGACGTTGATCGTTAGCCGTAAAACGGCCAAAACTTTGACCGTTAGTCACAAAAAATATAAATATTTGTGGTGACAACAATGGAATGATAATAACCATTAGCCGCAAAATGGCCAAAATTTTAACCGTTAGCCGTAAAAAGCCATCACCTCACTGAGACTCTTATCCATTTAGCTGTTCGAAGGCCGATAAGCGCCAACATAAGGTTAAACTTTAATCCAGGTTTCGTAGTTCCATTTTTTCAAAAGCTTTTTTTAGACAATTTTTCGTATAATTCTCTATTCTTTTAAGAGCATCCAATTATCTAATTGCAGAAAATTACACCGAGTTTTTTCTTAAAGCGTACAGATCCGAAATCAGATTTCACATTTATCTTGGGTTATCTCAACCCAGATTTCATAAACACTGCCCAAGTGTTAACAAATCAAGGAAACTCATGCTATCTGAGTCACGTGTGCGAAACGACTTTCTAGTCCTTGTCTTCAGATGATATCAGGGACCTTTTGCAGTCAAGACGAGAAAAACCTCGCTTAAGGTTCGAAGATCGAGTAAGGCTGCTTTTGTTTATCGTCTCTAACGGCGCCACATCACAGCTTTAGTAATACGTATGTTAGCAACGTTGAGTTCCAAATGGAAACGTTTAAAATATGCAGTCAGGGATTCTGTTCTCGGACTACACAAATTTTGGCGATTTCACGTCGTCGTTTGGCAGAGTACGGTTAAGAAATGTACAAAACGCACGTGCTGAGCTATTTTTCTGCCCATTAAATATTTTGTTTTGCCACGTCCTTGTTGCTGTCGCCAGGTCCCTTATATCAGAGTGCTCGTCAGTAAGTTACCTTAGACGTTACCAATCTGCGTTCAACAAATACTTAAATCAACATCAATAAAAAATAAAATCCGGAACTAACAGCTTTTTACGCTAAAATGTGCTTTTATTGTGAAACTCAGTAAACCGTGCACAAATATATTAACACGTCAATTGTTTTCTTGACCAATCACAATAAAGTTCAGCAATCACTTGCAAACGGGTGTATAAAATAACTAAGACACTTTAAATATCGAGAGAACACTGCCGGAAAAGTATTTAAATCTCGAGCTAGGAGAGGTTTCCTTGAAACACAAAACTTCCATGCATAATTCTGGCGTTCGCAGTTTTCGGAGTTTCAAGACAAGGTTACATCCTAAGATTGTTATTTAAATTCGTTATTGTTCCTATGGTGTTATTCGTTGAAATCTAGAGTTTCTTTCAGGTTTCCACTGCATCAGTTTGGCATAATTCTTCAACAACTTTTTCCAGTAACACTTCACATCTTTCATTCGTAAATGATCTTTTATAAATTGATATCCCCTGAGAAAGAAAAAATACCTCCTGAGATTCGGAAACTGGAAACAAAAAAACAGTAAAATCGAGATACTTTTATGTGATTCAGAGCACTTTTCGATTGAGTGTCGTAAAACTAAACCAAAGCAATCACAATGGCCAATCAAAAGAAGGAAGAGACCCTTAGAAACCAATGAGAATCAACTCTAAAGCGCGGGAAAATGCGGGCGACCAAGTCGTGATTCGTTTTAGTTTTGCAGCTGATGGATTGAGATAGAGGTGCGAGTTTTTCTGGACCAATCACAGAACAAGTAAAGCAAAACCAATGCAATCCCGGATTACATTCAACACTCAATTGAAAATTGCTTTATTAAATGTCCTTTCTTGCTTAGCAAAGCTTCAAAACAAAAGGATAAACTAACTGGAAGAGAGCATAAAGCCCGGAGTGCTGACAATTCTTGCATACCTTACTAAATAAGTAAAAATAAAAAACATTGCTACTGTGATAAAATCACCTTTCAGCCATTCCTTTTGCAACTTCATCATTTTCTTTGGCGAATTCTATAAGGTCCCTTAAAACAAGAAGAAACAAAATGTTAAGCTTTCTTTCACCTCCTTGACGGTGATTAGTATCCGAGTAAAAAGTTAGAAAATTGATGATATACGATTATTTCGTGTGAAATGTTTCGTGATGAAAGATGGCCTGCGTTTCTCTTGCAGTGGACAACAGTTCCTCGCTTAGGATAAGGCAGAAACTCGTTCCCGCGGCCAATTTACATATCAACTCGGTTGATAAAACCATTTTCTAAGATAGGACAAGCCTTTTCTTACTACAACGAGTGATCTCTAACTCATTAAAAAAAACCCAATTGTGACAAAAACCCTTTACTTTGTAAAAAACGGAGACAACATTTCAGACGAAATATGTTCTTAATCTTGATGAATTTGGTTGAGGGGTATGCATATAGTGCTTCTAAAGTTATGGTTAACAATAAGAAGTGCAAACTCAGGCGCACCGCGCCGGAAAGCTATGTGCACGAGTAGAAGTCAGAAACTAAAATAACTCCTTGAAAGTGGTAGAGAAGCTGAGACCAAAACTCACCTGGCATTGTTAAGATCTGTTTGCACTGGTATGTAGTGTACCCAGGGCTTCAGCGCTCGGTAGAAGAATTCAAGCCATGCGTCTCCTACGTGAAAAACTAAAGACTTGCAAAGAAAAAGATGCTTATATCTAAAACTGGCTGCTACTCCACGAAAGTTGAACAAGTATCTGCAACACAAGAGAACGAAAAGTATGGTTAGCTTGCTGTTTGAGCTCGTGTGCTAAACACTGGGCGACCAGGAGAAGGAAGCAACTTATCATATAGCTATTGGATTTGCAACGCGTCAGTTACAAAGCTCAGGCTTGTCTTTGAAATTTAAAGCCACATTCTGGGACAAGAAATCTGTAATAAGCATCAGGGTAAAAGAACACGGAGCTATTGGCCCCCACTCGTGTCATAAAAGAGTTCGTACCGAGGCTTTCTACGGGGGAACTACAGAGGCTAATATCTCGGAGAAAGATTCTCCAGAGTGGAGTCTGTAAAGCTGGGGGAAAGAATTATCAACAATTCTTTCTGATAGTGTATTGTAGTAAAGTAAATTAGATACCATGAGCGGCGTGATTGGTCAAAACCTATTGTTTATTGCATTGGTACACCCCAAGAAAGTTTACGTTTATTTTATAAAAGTAATAGACCCGGCGCACTTTCGATCTGTTTATTGGCAAAATAACCACCTTACGATGTTAGAGGTAAAGTTTGTACAGAACGCGCCTCGGTTCGTGATTAAAAAAAAACTTTTCGAGCGTTCTCCCAACATCTCAAGTTAAGTGGGTTGTTACACTGGTAAACCGATAGAAACTGCAGTTCCTTGCATATCTATATATAAATCACGCGAAACGTTGGAAGAATACGTAAAAATTTTCTAAATCATTCGCCATCGCCTTGTGATCCGCACACTTTTCGATTGTTCTACCAACATTCCAAGTGGGAAACTACACTGATAAACCGATAGAAAGTGCGGCCTGTTTCATAATGAAATAGGAATGGCTTCTTCGGTTCAATAAACGATCAATTCTGACCAATCAGAGTGTGTGTAGTATTGTGGCTATTCTACATAGGATTATCTTCAAGAGTAATACGTCAATACTTGTATTCACAGTGGTCCTCGAGCTTGATCTCTTTGGCGGGTGGAGCATGTAATGTGTCCTGAGAAAAGAAAAGAGGCTTCTAAAAAAAATTGTTTGGCTAAGAATATTTCACATACAAGGAACATTTTCTGAACTCAGGGTCAAACATTGCTTATCTATCATGCTTTTAACTTACAGCATCAGACTTCCAGGCCTGATTCTTAGTGTACTGTGCATCCACAAGACTTGGGTCCTCACGAGACAAAAGTACTAAAGGATCCCTCTCAGCAGAAGTCCTAAAATAAAGAGAAAGAATATGTATCTTATAAGACGTTTTGGTGTGTAGTATCGCTGAGTATTTTATGAGTTGTGCCGTATTTTGACGAGCCCGCAGGGCCTCTTTTCCTTCCAGGTCTTTCTGTTCGTCTCTCATAAAGCAGGAAAAACAAAGAGGAAAGAGAAGCGTAGCGCGCGCAGCCGACTGGTTAAACAGTTTTTTTTACAGTACAAAATAACCAACTGTCCAGATTACCGTATAATATCGCAGGATATATGTACTCTGTTCGCACGTCATTTGCACTCTACTTTGGGCAGTTGGATAATAATAAAAAGTACATGTATTTGAAACTCTTTAAAATCATCTTACTTAAAGAATGATTCCAGAAAACCATCTGATTGTTGTACTTTCGAGTACAATCGCTTCCATCGCTCCCCCCCCCCCCCTCTTACTTCCATCTAGATATCAATTTTTTCACTCATGGCACTCTATCTTCATCTCCCTTCATCCCCCTGCCTACTCTTTGGCTAACCTGTCCCTCCTCCACATCCTCCCTGCTTCCAACTGGTTGCCAATATTTCCTCCATAACAAACTTTCCCTCTTTCCTTTTCCCATTTCACATCCATCCATCCATTCATTCATTGATCCACTAGTTCTGCTCTCCCTCCAGCCATCTTCCCACCCTTTATCAACCACTCTCTCCTTTTCATTCTTTCTTCCTTTCATTATCTCTTAAATTTGTTTGACAGGGTAATGCAACCAACGAACTTACCTTGATCCTCTAAAAAATGCCTTTGCCTGTTTTTTCTCCCAAGGCCACTCAGTGGCTTTTCTGAAAGTAGACAATCACATTAATCATAGCGGAGCTCGCAGAGCGTAGCCCCATAATTATACAAAATAGTAGTAACCCATCAAGCCGAAAAAATCTGGTTGTAGGACCGTACGACCGTACGACCGTACAAGGTGCTACTTTTAACATGCGTGATCAAATGTACCGCGGGCACGCCAACGCCACGGCTTTGCCCAGTAGTCCAGTGGTCAGTGCATTGGGCTCCGAGTCGGACGACCCGGGTTCTAGTCCTGGCCGGGGCAAGGCGTTGCTAAGGTGAAAGAGCTAAGAGCCACAAGGAAGTTCAGAAGGTGGCGAAAGATTTGGAAATTATGCAAGCCATGATTAAGTCCAAATTAGCAGGTGATGTTGAATTTTACAGAAAGTCAAGGTAAGATGAGATTCGAAATTTTCTCTTCTACTTTCATGAAGAGTGAAAAAGTGTTTGAAGTGCACGTGACACGTGAATTTTTTTAAATTCATGAAGTTCAGTGTTACAGCTTGCCCTTCGGGCAAGTGGAAAGTGTACGTGCCGAGTCACCATCAGTGAACAAATTATGCAAATAAAAATTATGCAAATTCGTGGTATACCTTGTTACAAGTAACCATAGGTTTAAGGTTTCAAAAGAACAAGAATGTTCGTTTCATTTCTGGCAACTTTTCATCTGAAAGATCTTCGTGAAAAGTGAAGACAATACGATGTGTTCGATGTATTTTAATTAACACACACCTACGGTATCGGTGTTTAGAATTTACCAAATTGAAACGCACGTGACCAATATTTGCTGAAACCATAATACATTTCTCACTGAAGTTCAGGATCAAAACCTTTTGTTTACGTTCTTCACAAATGATTATGAAGCAAAATTTAGAGAAATAGCTTTCTCTGAATTAGTAAAAATTAGTCACGGGCAACATTTACCTCCAAATTTTTTTTCAATATCTGCTTTCACTTTAAGCACGGGATCTCGCTTTTACATCATGCACGGGATTTCACTTCGTCGAAGCGACTTTCGTTCCGCATGAATTTATTAGGAATTGCTTACAGTTGTTCTGTAATTTCAATTCTCCAAAAAATCTTCATTTGTCCTTCGGAAAAATTAAGCACAGAATTCACTAGCCCAATCGCAAAATCCACTAGCCCCGTGATCAGACACGACTTTCCTTGCACGCTGAGTCTGTGGTCTTATCACGTGTAGGAACCGGTAAGCACATGGTAATCTCAGCTTGTTCATTTGCGAGTCTTTGTTTGTTCGTTTTCTTAATAAAGTATAAGTTTAGACTATACAAAGTGGCTTGGAATATCTTTACGGTTACCCTCTGTGAAGAAGAAAGAAAAGCTCTGAAGGAAATTTTGTCCCATTGTTCGAAAAATGAAAAAAAAAGGTACTGACAGAAGTAAAATAAAAATAAACTACAATGTAAACTAACTTGTCAATTTCATCTCTCATTAGATCCCATCTCCCCAGTCCTGTGGGGTAAATTGGCCACACAGCTGGCCCCCCTTCCCAAAATGTCCATGCTGGGTACATGATGTCATTCTCATTGCTTGTCTGACAAAATAACGATTAAAAAAAATAACATAATAAAAAGACCACATTCCATAATGTGTGCTAAAATAATGCTGATGACTCCTGAACCCTTCCCCTCCACCCTATACTACAGGCCTAGTTATATGAAGGCTGATTAGCACTAACCCACTGTTAACTTTTAATCCAGGTTTCTGTACTTCTTAATTGAAGAGCCTTTTTGACGATAATTTTCCCTATTCTTATTAGAGCATCCAATAATGAATTGTAGACCAAAAGAATTCAACTTGAACCATCCAAAACCACCTTTCACTTGGTCTAAAATGAGTAATAATCTTCTTCTTCCCACATCAAAGGGTGTTACCCAAAAACATTGTTTCACCAAATTATCACATGGTAAACTTGACCCAGAGTTATATATTAAACTTTTTGCAACAAATAAAAATTGTTGCAATCACAGATCTTTTCAGGTGATGTATTTTTAATAAGTAATAATGAAGCTTATTGCAAACATCTGTTAAAAAGAGCTTTTTCCTTCCAACTCTTCAGTAAATGAGAAAACAAGGAATCAGCATCATTTGTTAAAGTGGTCTGAAGACTCTATCTTACCTTACTAAATGAGAAAACAGGCAGAGGACTGGACCACTTTGGGACCTAATCAAGTGAAAATTAGGAGATAATTTTATGAAAAAATAGTTCAAAGTTGAAAGAATCAGAGCTGCATTCATGAAAAAATTTCAACATTAAAAACAGCTGAAACAAACAAGCCTTTTTTTGGCAGTGACCAGCTTGAAACTTTTCCCACAAAATTGATTCAGTAAATTTTCCCACCAACAAAAGACAACTAGATGAAACACAATATTCTCCAAATTAATTTTTCAAAGAAAAATATGGCGGCTTGAAGGAGTAACTTTAATTCAGATCTTACCTGTGGATAGTCCCTGACATTAATTCTCATCTCCATGTCTGGTAAATTGTCAATAAGCTCCAGGATAAAATGCTCAACTCCTTTACATCTTAAAATAGTCAGAAATATAATCAATTAAATGGTTCTTTCATGAAGATGATTTCAATAGTTTGGGCTCCTTTTTCTCCACTTTCAATTTTGGTTTCCACAAAGTAATTATGCCTTGGCTGCTTCTTTCTTCTCCACCCCACCCCCTCCCCCCCCTTCTAGCCTTCTTCCTTCCCCACTCACCTCTGCCATGCATTTACATCAAAGATTAGACAATAACAAAAGTCTGTACTTGAGCCAAAAGGACAATTCAGCCAAAGCTTATGCTGGTTTCTGTTGCATGATGAAGTGACTAGGAGTATTATAGTCAAACCTTGATCATCCAGACTTGCTGGGACTTGACAAAATAGTTTGGATAATTGAGGGTCCAAACAATTAAGAATATCAATATTAACAAGGAACAAAAACTGATTAAATTAAGAAAGTAACATTTAAACATGACACAAAACATTTATGCTTCATTTTGAAAAGAAAAATGGCCTACACCTTCACTGTCCATTGTGATTACCTCTACGCATGTTTATTAACGATTAATTAATTAAAATTAATCAGGGCTTTATGAAGCTGTTCATTATGTGCAACTTTCAGCAATTATGCTTTGGTCCTTTGCTGGTCTCTATGTTGTCAGCAAACTTCATGATCTTTTCCTTGATGGTGAATAAACATTCATGATGCTGTATTGCTTGTTTATCTTGCATACCACACCAAATGAACCAATGGAGTGTGAAATCTCGCTTAGCAACAAAGCAACTCTAAGCCACCAGACCTCATTTGAATGTTAATTCTTTGTTAGTTACAACATGCGCAAGTGCTGCTTTTGCTTTTTGAAAGTGAAACAAACTCGCCTTTAGTTCACTTTTCTAATAAATATTCCTGACAAAATTTTGACAAGAAAAAAAGGCCGAATAATTGAGAAATCCGGATAATCAGCACATAAAAAACAAAACTGTACTACTCCTCTAGGACAGGATGCAAGTTCAACAAACTCACATCCCATCCTTGAAATTGAGGTACTCTTCTTTGAAAAAAGTGTTTTTTTTTATGTTTACTCCACCTTAAGAATAGTCTAGGTCTGGTCATAGACTAGTTCTAGATGAGTTTAATGCATATATTTTGGTCCTCTTATCTTTGAGC